CTAGCCCCTGATTGGTTAATATCCAAAAAGGAACACAAATTATTTCTGTATAACCTGGTTTGGTATGGGGACACCCCCCCTCCCCCCCCCCGACAACCAGCTGAATCGTCTGTATCCATGCAATCCTCTCATTTCCAGTCCTCGGGATTCATGGAAAATTCCAGATTTAATAAATGTACCTTTAACTTCAAACAGTAACTTGGATCTTACCACATGTAAACAAACAACATGGCTGCTAGGACTATGTATCAGTTTTTACCTCCCCTCGCTTTCCATTACTTCCGTTACTAGGGTTGTATTATTGAGCGGCAAATTTGAACTAATAAAAAGCAACGAAATTTTTCACCCACAGTTGTTTAATGATTTTAGAATTAAATTATAAGGAATGACTCTAATTCTTGGCCAAATTATTCGAGTATAACCTGGTTTGGGTCAGTTTACGCTGTTTTATAATCCGCTTCGCGGATTATATAAAGCGTAAACTGACCCTAACCAGGTTATACACGAATAATTTGGCCAAGAATTAGAGTCATTCCTAAACTATTAGTATCCACTTATCAAAAATTGGGGTTTTCCTCTTCTCTTTATAATTTTAAAATCTTAATTAAGCTTAAAATTTCAGTCTAATTGTAAGACTTATTTCATTTGTATAGAATCAATGAGAAATGAGAAACTAAAAGTTTCCAGGGACAGGATGTGAATGACGCTTAAATACAGTGTATACATAAATCAAGATAACCAGCCATCTTTATAATTGCATTCACGAGTCGCTAAAACTGAAAGAGATGCTGCAATTAAAACACCAAAATGTGATACAGAAGAAGTGTGGAATATATTCGACGGTTTGAATAAACTTTTAAGGCAGGAGCGTGAAAGCAAAAGAAAGAAAGAAAAATATTGTTTATTTAACTCTGTGAACTTTGGCACATACAATATTGAAACAAGGATAAAAAATTTGTTAGAAGCTGATAAATAACTTGTACAGTTTATCATTTTTCCCTTTGCTTCCTTGTTAACATTAGCTAGTTATTTGTTGTCAAGATGGATTAATTTTGAATGGAAATCATTATTTATATAGGGATAGTATGGGTCTCTGTTGGGCCTAACTTAAAAAAAATCAATGTCGGTAAAGGAACAATTAGCCATTGTTGGGCCAACACATGTAAAGGACACTGGACCACCATTAAGCCACCGATGGTATGTCGGTTAACGGACGTTGGGCCAACACAAAAAGTACATTTGGCCAATGTTGGGCCTTCGTTGATACAATCACTGTTGGTTGTGGACTGTAGTGCATGTGACCCCCCCCCCCCTTTTTTTAAATGGTGTAATAATAGTAATGTTAGGTTACATGGTGTAACTTTTTATTTTATCCACAACAGTGTTTAATCATTCTGAGTCAATGACTGTAATATTTTACTATATATGTGTGAGCTTGGAGCGGGTTGATTTTTCTATCAAATAGGGTCAATGTCTGTAATATGTTATCATGCATTGTGGTGATTTGGAGCGGGTTGATGAAGTTTGTTTATTCACAGTTTTATTTTGTTTTATATGAATGTGCTATTCGCAGAGTTGTACCTAAGTCACTTAATTGTAAATGTATATACTTGTGAAACAAGGGTAGATTGATATATTTTGATAACATAAACATGACTGAGATGATTCGAACTGAGTTAGAGTTTGGTAGAAGATTAATAAAGTATGTCGTTTGTAAATCAGCACTTAAGTATACATCGTACGACTATAACTGTGTGTAACAGTATGTGATTGTTGTTTGTTTAGTGCTATTTAGTTGATATGATACCTGTGAAATAGTCTAAACTTCTGTTGTCACATTGTTTGACAGTTTCACGCTTCATTACGATGTACTTCCGGTTTAGAAACTTGTTAAAGTAATTGATAAATTTATCCTTGCATTTGTAATATAACCGATAAATATATCGAGTTTGAATGGCGGTATCTTATGAATGACTGTATTTTTAGATAAACTGAATATTGTTTTAAGTTTAATTTGTTTTGTTTTAATTATTTATTGTGAAATATATTTTTATTTAATTGATAAATATGTAAAAATTCATTATTTCATACTTGTATAGAATATTTGGTGACACTTGTTCACGTGAAAGATCGTGACGTTTTACTATTGACCAATCAGATTGTTCGATATAATTGATCATTAATTGATAATCCAATGAAATTTCATAATTAATAATTCTATTAATATCCGTCATCTTCCAGCATTTTCCGTTGTTTTCTGTCATAAAGTCATATAAAAGTTAGACGCTGAGAATTTTTAGTCACTCTTCTGCTTATTTCGATTTGGTAGGTCCGTTTTACGGAACTTTTAGATTTTTCTTAGGATTTTATTTTAACTTTTATTTTGTCTATCTTTTATTTTTATTTAGGAATTTATTTTATTTTTGATTTATTTAGTTAGGATAGATTTTAACCGACTAGGACATTAAATAGTAAAATACTATTGTCCGCTATCTGTTGTTTTTAAAGACTCAACAGTCTATGACTGAGTAGTCTTCTTTAGCAATTATAATTGATCTAGGATTATTTTATTTTTCATTTTTACTCTATTTTATTTCATTTTCATTTTAATGCAAACTATGAAACTAAAGTTATACGTTTGCTATCTTTCTCTTTTATGATGACTAAAGTTGATTAGTTCAACGAAAGTCAATTATTTATTTTATTTTCATACAGTAATTTAATTATTCTAGATACGTAAATTTTTCTTCAATTATTTTTAATAGAAATTATTTTATTACAGTACTTGGGAATTTTTAAACGTTGCTTCTCGATAAACTTACTCATGATTATTAGAGTTATCTTTCTTCGCCCTTAGTGTTTACAAGCTAACCTGTTATATACAGTAATGCTTGTTGTTAGGTTTAACAAGTCAAAGTTATAAATAACCACGGCTTGTGTCCTTATTTAATAAAGTATTTTAGGAGTTTAACCAGCTAACCTGTTAAATACAGTAAAGTTTGGTGTTAAGTTTTACAAGTCAAAGTTATAAATAACTACGACTTGTTGTCACATATTTTATACGCATAGGAATAGATACGTTAGATTTTTGGGGTGGTTTTTCAGTCTGTTTTATGGTATGATTTAATTATTCATTTTTTTTATTAAACTTATTTATTATTATTAGTTTGGTATGAATGTGGTGTGAATGTCGACGTTTAAATAAATTGTTTGTTGATAATGCACTTAATAAATTTAATTGTTAATGTTTATAATCTTACGTCTTCTTTGCGAATGGTACATTTATATAAGGAGTTGAGCGAATTATTAATTCTATGAAAACAATTTCTAGCAGAACCGCTAGCGTTACATGGACGTTGGGCTATTGTTGGGACAACATTGATCAAATGCAGAAATAAAATGGACAAACGTTGTGCCAACATGTTGGGCCAACGTAAGGTTGATGAGCAAACTTGCATTGGGCCAATGTTAGGTTTCCAACGTTGATCCAACGCAGGTAACAATTGTGCGCCAACGTTGGTCCAACATAGTCATGCTATCTGGGTGGGACACCGGCACTGAGGGTATCATAAAAGCTCACCCGTTCATCTATGTAGAGGTGAGGTAATAATCATGGATTCATTGTTCTTGGAAAAAAAGATAATAAAATATAAAAAAAAATCCTATATATTCAATAATTTCAAATAAAAATACATAGTGATTAGGTTCATAAATTATTTTCAAGAATCAGTACAGAATGATTTATTTAATTGAAATGAATGTTGAATACATTATATCTTGAAGTTTTCTTCTTGATAAATGAATCTATCTTCAGTATATCACCAGACTGGGAAGTAAAGTTATCCTTAAGGTAGTTTACTTGCTGAATGACATCCAGGTGATACTCAGTATACCATCATCAACCATCGGTATCCTGGAATTGTTTTTGCTGCAAGCAGTTTGCTAAACTGAGTCAGCACAAAGAAACCCCTGTCTGGTGAAACTGAAATTATTTCTTGCACATTTACAGCTAGCGACTTCCTTTCTGAAAAGTTTTATCAAGACTGTTCAAGCCATCTCTGAGCATATCCAAGGGCAAAGTCAATAACAACACGTCTCCCTAACTACATTTGGGGGGATTTAATGATGGATCAACATGGATATATCATCTTTAAAATTTTAATGATCAGTCATTATATAGTGGGCATATTATCAGTTTTAACAAAGTATCTTTCAAGTCATCTTAGAAGTGATCTGAGGCCTTTCCCTGTAACATGTTTAACTCATTGATCTACAATCAACACACTCTTATTCTTAATAATCATTATAAATTTGACATAATATCAAAGTTTTAACAAAGTATCATTTAGAGTCAACTTATAAGTGACCTTGAGACCATGCCCTTTAACCTAGGGTGATGTCTTGATGTACAATTAGCAAATTCTTAAGTTTTAATTATCCTAGTCTTTATAAAGTGGGCATAATATCAAAATTTTAATAAAGATTTATTTTAAGTCAATGAAAAAGGTGAAGATAATGAACCGTTATCAATCACTACTATAAAGAAATGACCTTGAGTCCATGATTTTTGGCCTAATGTAATGCCTTGTTGTCAGCTTTTTGATCTACAATTAACATATCCTTATTCCTAAGTTACTGTTTTCATTTGATGATAATACATGGTATGACAAGTGGTTCTCAAGAAGATTCATTGTATTGAAGTAAAGGTCAAGCCTGGGTGATATTTACATTCACTAAAGGCTGGCATTTTATAGAAAAAAAAAACATGCTTCATGTTTCTGGAACCTTCACTTCTTTTTTTTTTTTTATATATTCCCAATATTATCTCCCCTAGTTTTGTTTATCTTCAGATATGGCCCACATTTCAAAGAGTTGATGCACACCATACAAATGGCCATAGCATAAGCTCTTTGAGCCCTTGGCTCAGAAGAGCCAAAAAATGGTAAAACACTTTTTTAAAACACTTTATTGAATATTTTTAATATTTTAGTATATATTCCTCTTACACATTAACCTCATAAATATTTGTATTATGAACTAATATTTTTTAACATTCATGAAAAAGTCATAGACTAGTTTTTGTGGTTTTGTGCATTTTTAACATGTGCCGCCTCAAAGAATTTTTATGCATTACCATATTACACTTATCACAAGCTACCCGCATCAATCCTCGATGGAGGGCTACATGAGCTTCAAGAGTCCATTTATTGGTGAAAGATTTTCCACAAGTGCCACATCTGGGTCGAGCATCAGGGTTTTTCTTTTTCTTATGGATCTCTTCTGAATAACTGACATTGGTCTTATGTTTATGTTTGCTCGATTTGTGCTTTTCATATCGCAACCTTTCACAGAAGCCCTTTCCGCAATGTTCGCAAACATAAGGTATGTCTGAAATTCGCGATCTTGTTTCCAAGCTCAAATCATCATGGATTCTGTGCCTTACCAGATGATGTCGTAAATATGGCTCAGTAAAAAGTTTTCCACAAATCTCACACAGTATCTTAGTAGAGGAATCATGCGTATTCATGTGCAGAACTCTGGCCATCCTACTATAAAATCTCCTCCCACAAATCTCACAGAGAAACGGCTTTTCACCAGTATGTAATCTCTTATGCTCTCTGAGCCTCTGCTTGCATTTCAATATCTTCCCACACACATCACAAGGAAACCTCCCCGGCTCATGTTTCCACATATGCTTTTTAAGAGCGTATCTTAATTTGAATGTTTTAGGACACTTATCACATGCAAATGTTTTTGTTTTCATGTGTGAAAGTCTATGTCCTCTAAGCGAAGAAGGGAAAACAAAGGCCTTCTCACACAAGTCACATTTATGTGGTTTTACAGTGCTATGCATTAGTTTCAGGTGCCTCTCATAGGCAGATTTGTGCTTGTAAGATTTCTGACATCCCAAACAATCATAGGACTCTTTTACCTCCTCCTTGAACTGTTCTGGACCAAAATTCACAAAATCTGGGTGGACTGCATCTGAGAGATTTTCCTCTCCTTCTTTATTATGCTCCACTGTTATAACTGAGTTCTTTTTTAAATTGTTCCATTTCATTTGACACATATTACACATTATCTCTTTTGGCAATGGTGTTTCCTCAAATGTTTCTTTGCGAACTGGTCGCTTACAAAAGATACAAAAAAACCATACTTTAGCACAGTCACTTCTCTCTTTGTGCTGTGCAAACACCTCTAGATTGGGAAAGATTTTACCACACATCTCGCATTTTGGTATTTTTGTTCGAATGACTCGAATAGTTTTCACAGATTTTTCATTCCTTTCATACGTCGGTAAGTTAACCTCAACCATACCAGCTTTTGGTTTATTGCAACTGATACCATGAATGCATTTCAGATGTGCAAATACACCAGTTGTACAAGAAAAAATCTTTTCACAATACCCACATTTTATAACTTCGCTTTGGAATCCCTTGTGTTGTCGAATGTGTGTCTGCAGGACTAATGGATCACTGAAAGCCTCTTCACAAATTCCACACTTATAAAACTTGTAGCCAATTTCTTCCATTTTATCTGCATTACTTTTGTCTTTATTAGTTCTTTTGTCTGTTAAATTTTCCTTTGGCCTTTTCTGAAACACAAAAATAAAAAATCCTTACTTCATTTGTCTAATAAACAAATCATGGAACGTGTAAGAATAAGTTACATCTACCAGAGGCCCACAGGGCACAATGCTCACCTGAGTCTCCTTGGCCTTGTTGTTCATCATCAAATTTTTTTTCTCTTTTTTAATTTGACAATTTTTACCCTATATTGTGGTACTACTTTAGTCCTGATGTAATTATCTTGAATCCACACATCATGGGGATGCTTCAATGTCAAATTAATACCAAATGGAAAAGGTATTTCTACAGTATTTTAATACTAAAATTTTCATTTCAATGTACAGTCGTGTGTAGATATGCACTGAAAGTCCAAACTACTTTTTACAAGTTTCCCCCCCCCCCCCCCCTCAAGATCCTTGGATATCTCAAACTATATCCTTTCACACTGAATTCAAAGTAACAAAGGGGAGGTACTGAAAAGTGGTGCATTCCCTCCCAAAAGAGCACAATGAATCCTGATATGAATCATAACTAGCTTCATTTTATTACCACACTCACATACATACATCCTCCCCCACCCCCGCCCCACCCACACACATATGCACAGGAGCGTTACTATATCCTCTCTAATTTCAATACAAGAGGGTAATATTTTTATTGTTCTTTTTTCGCAAGGGAAACACAATAATACTTTATTATTTCCTAGGAGAATACATAAATTTATATTTATATAATTCTAATTTAACAGTCAGGGGTGAGACTGAAATCCATCACATTTAAAAATGATTCATAACAGTCATTTCTACTAACTACATAATGTACATGTTTTTATTATTTTTGAAAATATGACTTGTTTTCATTATATTTCCATTCCCAAGTCAATTCTTCCAACCCATTTACTACAGTAATAAGATACAGTACACTATCCTGCCATGGATCCATGTGTAGAGAAACATCTTGACAAACAACTGAAACCAAAATAAATTGGTGCACCTGTAAAACTAACAAGATAAATAAGTGCGCCCAGACCTAACAATTTGAAAAAAATGATGAAATACAGTCATATTTATTTTTTGAAGTAAGTCTAATACATTTTAAAATAAACTCCAAATAGTTATGACTGTTTTTCATCATTATTCTAAAAAAAAGATGAATTTTAGTCATTTTTAAAAATTTTGAGTATTGATGTGTTTCATGTCATGAGGTATGTGAAATGCAACTTCACTATATGTAGGTTATTCAAGGTACATGTATCATGTATATGATTGTATAGCTGCATGTAAATATGGTGATTTTCAAGTGCTGGTAAGAAATATATGTTTACAAATTACATGCTTGAAAAGTACGAGCAATAATCAAGGCAACATGAACCTGTAATAAGCCACTTCACAGTAAGTACTACATGTAGTAGGTAGTTCAAGCTATGTAACTAAATATAATGAATGCTGATGACAAAAATTTAGAACCTGATTGCTCACAACTATTTACACTTGGAAAGAGCAAAATATTGTATGTTATGTTTCATTATCCCCTTGTTAAACTTTATTTATGTGATTGGAATATGAGAAAAGATCACTCAATAGATGAATAAATTAAAATACATCTATGTATAAATCGAAGCAGTATTTGATCCAGGTGCAAATTACATCACTTCCACTATGCACACAATGGCAAACTAACCAACAAACCCAAGTGCATTACTATATCCCCTTCTCATTTTTGTAACAAGGCAGGGTTTGACATTAAGGCACATAAAACCAACCCAGACTAGTAAATGAGTGGTCTGGTCATGTAAAATGTACGTAAACCAGATCGATTGGTCGTGTTGATAAAATAACTTTTAAACACCCATTTCTGATCAATCTTTTAAATATATAATTTAAAAACTTTTTTAAAGAAATTTTCTTAATTTTCTGACTGCAAACAGCCATCGCTGTGAAAAGAAAAAAAATCCCCGCTTCATACAATCACTATTTTTAGCCACGGCTGTAATAGAGAAGTCACAACTACTGTCATTCAGTATCAATATGGTATAAATGGTTACTTAACGAGGTTCGCTCCTGAGCTTTTGAGCAGATTTATATCTTAGCCTATATTTCAAAAATTCTGCATAAAATTTTAATTCTTACAATAAATTTTAATTCTACAATGCCAATTAAACTATATTCAGTTAAAACTTCATGATAAAATTCCATACCAAAAGCATTAAGTGAGGAACTATATTTTGTGGCGGAAGGTTTTTTAGAAGAAAATGATCATTTTTTCTCTTTCGAAGTATTTAAAGTATGTTAAGTTTGGATTCCTATTTTTACATGCAGTCAGCACAAAGAGTTATTTTGTGTAGTGAACTGTTTTATACGGGTTCTAAATTATATATCAAATAAACTGTCATGAATTCTATTATTATATTTGATAAATATAGCAAATATATTGTGAAAATCAAGAAAAAAAATATCCCTATTTTAAGCTTAAAATTAGCATTTTTTAAGTAATATCTAAAAATTAACATCACAGACCCCCACTTTTTATTTTCTTTTCTGAATATATAAAATACTTTTAACAATTCTTTTTAAATTCAGTAAAATGTAATTACTTTCAAATGATTTTTTTGCTTGTTAAGTTTTTAATGCCAGGAAAATGAAATTTTTTGAGTGCAAAAAGGTCAAATAATTGAACATCAAGGACCAACCTAGGGGGCGACTGAGGCGAAATAGTCGCTTTTGAGCTCCAAACTTCGCCGTAAATTATCACGAAAGAGAAGTTTAAGTCGCCTTAATATTTGCAACCCCTTTATTGAAAATCATAAAAAAAATCTATTAAGAAACGTGGTAGTATCGTCACTATTTTATAAATCTGGTGTTATTTCTGCTGAAATAAGTGAAACAGCAGGGCACTTGCACCCGTTTTGCAACTAATGACCAATGCATCCAATACTCTGTCGGAACTCCTCTAGAGTTTACGCTTCCGTCCATGAAAAAGTCCATTGTTACAAGTTGTACACAAGACGCAAAACAGCTGGACAGCTATCGATGTCATGCCAAAGATGTTGGAGATGATTTTAGATCTTTTTTATTGTCAAATAATTAATACCTGCTGTGAATACAGACATTTTTTTTTAATGTTAAATTGTGGAGTTATTAACTGTCTAAGAAATTTCACATCTGATAAACATAAGTAGTTCAATCTGCATGCAGTAGTGCATCAAAACGTTTTTCAGAGAAAGAATTTAATATTGAAAACGACTTTTGAAGAGAAAATAACAAAATTATGACTATGCCAAGAGCCTGAAAATCTAACCCTGAGAGGAGAGAAAAACGTGTGAATCATTTAAAAGTTAATTGTGCATACTATTATGCAAGAAATGAAAAAAAGTTTGATAAACAAGTTAATCAATTAGAAACTTTTACATTGTCATTGTTTTATATGTTTAGCGAGATATTTATAAAAAGTTTGATAAACAAGTTTATCAATTAGAAACTTTTACACTGTCACTGTTTTATATATTTTGCTAGATGTTTAGATACCTTTTAATTGGAAAAATATAATTTTTTTTTTTTTAAAGAATATTTTTAATTATTTTTACTAAGATGTTTAAATAATACAGAAAAAATTATTGAAATGTATTTAAGTAATAAACAATGATTTTTTTTTTATTTTTAAAAAGTTTAATAATGATCATTGTGTGCCATGCGTGCCAAGAAGTCTCCCTAAAATTCAAAACTTCTCCCTACATTTCTCTGAGGGAGAAGTGAAGTCTCCCTAAATTTTGGGTCTAGGTTGGTCCCTGGAACATGCGGAGTAATTTGAAAAATTTTTCGTTGTCACAAATTTTAATGTGTCTATTCAAGATGAAATAAAACTGTGTTTGTTCTTATAATGTATTTGAATAAAAAAATATTAGAGGAAAAACTTTAAAAATTAATTTATGTGTAAGACGCATTTACAGTGCAAAAAGGTCAAACTAAATGCTCTGTAGCGCCAAAAGAAGTGCATTGACCCCCATCTTTTGTTTTGATATTTAATTAAGCTATGTGTATAAATTCTAAAAATATACTTGATAACAAATTCTCATCACTTTTGATGGCAGGATCCAACCTCCTTAAAGTATAGTTTTAAATTAATTTAATAATATTTATAATGATTATTTTACTTAGTTTGTTGAATGTTCATAATCATTACGGTTTAAAATACTTGAAAGTCCCAATGAACTCAATTAACTGGGACCTATCGAACAGACTGTCAAAACATTGGCCCACCCAAAAGACGATGTCTTTAATAAATATGGTTTCAAAAGTTAACTCATTCAAATTCTAGGTTATAAGAGTTAAAATTTGCAATTTTGGTCAGGGCTAGTGATTTTATGGTAAGGGCTAGTAAAAATTATGGGAAGTAGCCCGACTGGTCTGGTACTTGTAGAAGTTAAAGTCAAACCCTGCAAGGGGATAAGAAGGTTTAACTGTACACTAAATTGTGTACATACACAGTTACAGAATACTTACTGTTTTAAGTCCCTTTTCAACCTGTGGTTCTCCTCTTACTAGTCTGGAAGACTCAAGTTCATTGATAACAGTGGGACTTTCTTCCATTTTTACTTGACATTGCAATTCTGTTGATGGATCCAAATTTTGGACTGTTGGTGGATCCCCTTTCTGAACTGGTTGAAGGGTGACTGAAAAGCTTTGCTCTGTAACCTCCACATCTGCTGGTACCACTGTTTTTGAAGTGTTCACAGGTAATGTTTTGTTCTGAGACTCTGTGTCATGTGTGGGCCTGCAATTGTCTGTTGTTAATTTTTTCTTAAAACAATTTGAGGTTATATCCTGACTGTTGGGTATCACTGAATCTCTAGGGACATTTAAAGCTTGCTTCAGAAGTACAGTTTTCTGAACATTTTTAAGCTGATTTAGAGTAACAGCACTTAAAACAGTTACACCATTGTTCAGAACTCTGGGATTGCTGACAGTTGTTTTGTTCATAACATTTGGTTTGGAGACAGCAACAGCAGTATTTTGGTGAATAGGCATGTTACTTGGTACCTTGTCAGTATTGTTGATGTGAATTGCATTGGACAGTGTAGTAGCCTTGGTTTGAGATACTCCCATAGAATTTTCAGCATTCTTTGCCTTGTTTGGTAATGAAAGCACTATATTTTTAGGAACCTGTACCATACATAAATTGTTCACAGGATAAATCACAAAAGGGAATTTAAGCTGTGCAAGGTTGTTCATGTTCACACTAGGCTGACTGGACTGATGCACTCCAAGGTTGTTGGTGTTCAAAGGAGGCAGAGAGGACACCTGTTGTGTCTCGTGGCTGTCTGTGTTCAAACTAGGCTGGGGTGACTGATGCATTCCAAGGTTGTTGGTGTTCAAAGTGGTTTGAGAGGCCTGCTGGATTCTGAGGCTGTTCATGTTCACACAAGCCTGAGTGAACTTATTGGTTAGAAGGCTTTTCATGCTCCTACTAGCTGTAGGAAGGGTAGAATGAACCCCTAGGCTGTTTGTGCTCTCTAAAGGATCACTTAGTATTGTTGCAGGTGAACTTGGAATCTTTGGCAGGCTATTATTCAATGTACAAATAATTACCTTGGAATTATTAAGCAAAGCAGAATGTCCACTTGCTTGCAAATAACTTGAATTTGTGAGTGAAATCTGATTTTCAGAAGTTGTAGATGTACTTCCATCAGAAGTTTTACATGAAGCAGATGCTGATTTTGGTTGGATTTTGGGAATGTTTTTAAGGTGGACATCATTCTGTGGGGTGAAACTCTTCATTTTAACGACAATTACTTCATGCAAGTTGCTTTTGATGGTGGGTGACAAATTAGTAGATGGAGAAGCCGATTCACCAGGTGTGTCCTTGTTTATTTCACTATTAGAACAAGTGGTCATTATAATTATTTATCAAGTCCAATTAGAATACAACCTAGGATTTATGGTTCTACAAATGGGTACTTTGTTTCTTCTGAGGCAGACATGAAGTTGTAATCCTGCCTTTCTTCATGTTTAAAACTGTGTACAGTTGCTAACCCATGGGAAGGGTCCATCATGGTGACAATGCAATCAATCTCAGAAATTGGACATGGTAAGGTTACATCAGTAATCTCTGAATCTGGAAAGACAGCATCAAAACTAGAAATAAAAAAAAAACAATACAAGTGTAAATGCTTTTGCAACACTGTCAAAAGGAGTAACTCTCCAAGTTTTAAATATGTTTGAAAGACAGAAAACTTTCCCCTGTGAACTCTAATCCTATATGCATTTATGTTCTTTGAGTTCCTACACTTCTATGTGATTAATTGATTGTGCAATTGGTGTCGGGTGGTTACGTTCCAATTCCGTGTCCAATTTGATTGAAACCATGTTACTTAATTTTGAATTTAATAACACATTTTGTTACCACGAGCACACTTAACAATATTGTGTGAAAACATAGCAACATGACTAATTTTAAAGAATGAGTTGTTTAAAAGATTTATATTAATAACTATTTACATTTGCAAATATTTTTCTTATTAGATGAACCTATTGAAAAGAAAATATGTTCAATTCTGTATGAACTTATTAGGGGGTCAGAGGTCATAGCGTGACCGAATCACAGAGCGAGATGATATCTTGTCTACATATTTCTGTCATGGTGAAACTGGTGTCAGAATTTCTAAGCCGTTAAAGCGATGAAAAAGATAAAATTATCGTAACATATATGTTTTTTTCGTGCAGCAAATGATCATTAGATCTTTCTTCGGTGTGAAGAATGTTTTTAATTAGGCCTAGCCTAAAATCACGCTTACCTTTTTAACCCGAAATTCCTTTAAAGGTATGTAAACTGAAGACGATACCACCGCTTTTGACTTCATATATAAAGAACTCATACAATAATAGTAAGATTTTTCTCAGTAGCGATCATTGTTTTTTCATTACAAACAGATATTTCCTGGACTGGACTGCTGAACATCAATGTAAGTATTCAAATGTTGGAGCGAGGCGAACTCTCAAGACCAAACAGCTTCTAGGTCATTGCGCGTCACGACATAGCAATACAGCGGGCCGTTCGTGTAATAAATTCAGTTCTATTCAGAATATTCGTCTCAAATGTAAATAAACATAATAAACAACGTTAAAATGTTCACTGGGAAATGAACTTGGTTGGTACATGATCAAATCTTCTGAGAAGCCCTTCCGGCTTCAAAGGATTTGATCACGTGACCAACCAAGTTCATTTCCCAGAGAACTTTTTAACATTGTTGTTTATTTCTTAAATATATAAACATAATAAATACACAAACACAGGGATCGACATTAACAGTTGTCCGATTACCCGGGGCAAGTAAAATCTCAGTTCGGGAAAGTGAAACTGTCAACATACATGTCCCATCAGGCAAGTGAATTTTTCTGATAGAAATGAAGATTACATTAGGTTATATATTAAAAAAAAACAATTAATTAAAAAATTTATTTCCACCAGGCAGGTGCCTGACATTGTTTTTGCATTCGGAATCCCTCAGTAGCATTCTATATTATAATTTCATTTAAAAGTCGGGTTTGTTATTATTTTCTTTCATGGTAATAGCTCTATGTCTAACAACTCTGTTGCCTACTTATTAGGAAATATTAAGATTACTTACTTACTCAAAGAATTTAAGTAACACAAGATATCGATCCTGATCAAGACGTATGCTTCGTAGAAAGTGACTACCTTTAGTCATCTCGAAAATGAAAATTCAGGAAAGGATCTTCCCGAAAATAATTTTTAGAAGTATGAATTTTATTAGTAAAGAAAACAAGAGGGGGTTGGGTTTTTGCTGGACGGCAGAGCATGTTTCCAGGTAAGATTGACAAGGACAGCTAGTGAATTTCATGTACAAACATAGCATTGAATTGTTTTTTTTATGTACTTTAAACTGTCAAATAGACAGTTAGTGCATATGGTCATACTTTTTTCTTATCATATGGACATTTTCAGCAATGATTTAACTTTAAGTTACTTTCATCTTTCTTAAAGTTTAATTTGGGCAACCAAGTTTTGCAGTCGGGCACGTAAAAGTTTGAGATTACTTGCCCTTTGGGCAAGTGAATCTAAAAGTTAATGTCTATTCCTGAAATATGGGGTTTTTAAAATATTAACAAATATAGTTTACCAGCAGCTGTACATTCCGGGAGCAAGCCGAGTACTCAGATCGAACAAATATTTTTTGTTTAAATTACAGCATGATGGAATTTTAAAAAATTAAGGTTTACATCTCTGTAAGTACATACCTAATTACAAATACTCTAAAAAGGAAAGTGTCAACATAGACTCGGTAGAGCGCTTGCAAATCTCGATCAAATTTTCGTCCAGTCAATCATTTGTCTCATATTACAGCATGGTATCTCGAACCCGATGATAAACAATAGGCCCACGGGCCACATCACTCACCCGAGTCAGCTTTAAAACTCTGCTATAAAATTGAATCATCGCCATAACTGAGGTTTCTTGCATATCAATATTATAAATCATAGCTTTGGAATTTCTGGAAAAAAATTCTAGATATTTATATATTAAAATAAAATCACGTTATAAAACTTTGATCTGTTTTGAAAAACAGTTCAAATGTTATGTACACCTGAAGACGGATTATGAAATAATCCAGAAAGCGCTTGTGTTGAAATTTGGGTAATTGTGCATTTTCTTCTATGATTTTATATATATATATATATATATATATATATATATATATATATATATATATATATATATATATATATATATATTATATATATATATATATATATATATATATATATATATATATATATATATATACCGGGTATATATATATTTACTGAATAAAAGTGATATTCTGACACATTGTGAAAGGATTATCAAAATGGTATTCTCACAGTGTGAGAATACACGTATCAGAAGTGCGGCAAAACTTTTCCTTCTCTTCACGCAGATTGTTTAAAAAATCCCTGGCTTGTTATAAGGTAGAGTTAATGAGCCATCCTGACAGAGACTTATATTTATACTGCCAAGGTTTTTCCAAATATGTCCTTAAAAATCCATGTTCACAACATTTTTCAACTCGCAATCGCCTAGCTACATGATGTCTCAACCGCTCAACTATGATGTCACAGCCTATGACACTGTGTTACAAAAAGAAAGGGTCAAAGGGAAAATCTAAGAATTCAAAATGTAATAAACAGAAAATTCAATGTTTTGTAGATGAATATGAACTTTATTTTACGAGTGAGACAGGATTTTTTTTTTTATATTTTCACCCTGCTTCGCACTCGTGAAAATATTAAAAAAAAAATCCTGTCCGACTCAAGAAATAAATTCCATATTCATCTACAAAACTCTATCTCTACATTACATTTTTAACAGTGAAATATTGTGAATTATTTATCGAATAAAAGTGATATTCTCTCACAGTAACAGTCAGGGATTCTGGAGTTGGGGTTGCACTAATGATCCTATACTGAAAATGCATAAATTCTTCAATATTCCTCTCTCCCACCGTAAGTAAAATCACGGTTTGTACTAGGTACATGGTTATGATGGTCATGATCAAGGGTGCCTCTTCCAAAATTGTGAAATTTGTGGCCCCTGGGTCAGGGGTTCTGCAGAAAAGGAGGAGGAGTCTATTGAATTATATAGTGAAAGTGCATTATTTCTTTGATAATCTTCTTCTCTGCCCCTGGTTATGTTATTAGCAAACAAACCAGTTGCATAGTTATAATAATCTAGGGTGCCTCTTCTAAACATGTGAATTTCATGGCCCCTGGGTCTGGGGTTCTGGTGTTACCCGTAAGGCCAGGCTCTATTGATTATAGAGTGAAAATGTAATATAGTTCTTTAAAAATCTACTTCTCTGCTCCTGGGTTTCTATCAGATGAAGTAGGTACATGGATATTTATGATCAAGAGTGCCACATCCAAAATTGTGAAATTTGTGGCCCGTGGATCAGGGGTTCTTGAGGGGGTTGAGAGTTGGCATTATTTTTTTAATGCATTATTATTTTTTTTTTTTTGGAAAATCTTCTTCACCGTCCTTGTATATTTAACAGATAAACTAATTCCAGTTTATGACAGCTTACAGAGACAAAAGGGTTACATTTTATCAATAATATGTAGTGTATACTAGTCTAGAATACAAAAATAGTAAAAAGCTAGCTGGTGTTTCGATTCCAGATTTAAAAAGAAAAAAAATGAAAAGGGTGGGGGGGGGGGTTCCATCCCCCAATTGTCTGTGTAAAAATCATAAAGTATAAGTAGTTTGGAATGCCAGCTACATGTAACTTTGACATTAATTTTATAATCCCAAGTATTCCAGCTAACAAACTTTAACTGTTAATAAAATGATAACCAGTAACAAATGTTTTTATTTTGAACACATTTTATTTCACTGGAAAAAAAAACCGAAGGGAACATTTTGAAAATAAGAACACTCTATAATTAAACTATTTTTTTTTTAACATTGAGAAAATTATATTGTTATAAAGAAGTAAATATTGAGCTCATATATTTCATTTTCAGAATTAGAGTAGCTGGAAGTTACCTCCAGAAAAAATTTTTCAACCACTACAAACAAAATATTGATGACCAGATATCACTGTTGTTTACTTAAGGACAGATAATACAAAAAAAAAAACAAAAAAAAAAAAAAAAATGATGGCGGGATTGGTATATACTTTTGGACTTATTTTGGTTGTAGATCATGCAAATAATAAAATTCTAAAATATTAAGAAACTGTAAACTTTCTATGATGTTCAAAATTCTATCTTTCTGCAATCATCTTTATTATTCTATACAACTTTTTGTCAATTTAAATCTCGATCATTTTTATGAAACTTTGAATGAAAAATTAAAATCTCTGCAGTTAAACTTAATATTTATATTACTTACATAATCAAGATTTAAGTTGTTATTTTCAAGATTTCTGGTAAAAGTTTGTATCATCTGTCCTCAAATGGAGGGAAACAGTAATACATGCATTTGAAGTCTTCAATTAAATAAAATGTACCTTGGCCTATGAAAAATAATCAAGAAATAAACTGTATACATTTCAATTTATTTTGTTTTAGACTTCAGGCTCACACAGTTTTAAATTACAAAATCAGGGTTCTTAGATATTAAAATATGTCATGCAAAACAATTCATAAAAATGTAATTTTTCCAAGAAATACAAGTGGATTTATAATAGTAGAAAAAGCAGTTGCTAACCTCCACAAATTTCATCAATAAATTTATGCACAGCAGCAAAAATACTAGTACTGATCTGTTAAAACTAATTGAAAATCAAATTTACATCATCCAGTAATAGCAGATTTTAAAAAGTTTTATTAAGCATGAACAGATCTATAGTAAAAAGATTACACTGTAGACCACAAAAACTTTTAAGTGAAATTTACGACTGAAACAAAATTTTCATACATGCATGTATATTAGCATTCAACACATGAAAAGTATGATGGCATTTTTTTTTTTTTATCTTTTAATAAATTTCGAATATCATTTTCTGAAAGAGATACAGTAAATTTTTTCATACTTGTTAATATTGTTTGATTTTATTTATGAAAAGCATCTAGACTGGTATTAAGTGCTTTTGTGCATTTTCAACATGTGCCTCTTCAAGGACTTTTTATGCATTACCACGTTACACTTTTCACAAGCTACCTGCATCTTTCCTTTATGGAGGGCAATATGACACCTATAAGACGACCTACTGGAGAAAGATTTTCCACATGTGTCACATATCATTCGACCATCTGGAGTTTTCTTTACTTTGTTTTTACGCTCATGCTTGTTTAATTTGTGCTTTTCATATGGCAACTTTTTACAAAAGCCTTTGCCACAAATTTCACAAATATAGGGAATGTCTGCAATATCTGATCTTTCTTTCATGCTTAAATCATCATGGATTCTGTGCCTTATCTGATGAAGTCGCAAAGAAGACCCCCACTTGATGAATTTCCCACAAATCTCACACAGTCTTTTTCTTGAGGAATTATGGGTATCCATATGTCGACTTCTAGCCAATGGACTATAAAACCTCCTCCCACAAATCTCACAGAGGAATGGCCTTTCACCAGTGTGTCGTCTCATATGATCTTCGAGCTTCCACTTCCACTTCAATTTCTTTCCACAAACATCACATGGAAACCTTCCAGGCTCCGTTTTCTTCTGATATTTTTTAAGAAGATATTTTAAATTGATTGTTTTCAGACACTTATCACATGCTAATGGTTTAGTTCTTTTCTGAGAAAGTCTATGTGATCTCAGCAAAGAGGAAAACACAAAAGCTTTGTCACAGAAATCACATTTACATGTTTGTGCTTTTACAGTGCTGTGTGACTGTTCCTGCTGCAACTCATATAAAGATTTTTTCTTGTAGGGTTTTCCACAATCCACACAATCGTAGGACTTATTTACCTCCTCCACAGACTTTTTATGACTTAAACCTGGATGTGCTGCATCTAATATCATTCTACTTCCTTTTTTGTTCTGCTCCATCATCATATCTGCGTTCATTTTTGGCCTGTTCTCTGGCTTATGACATAAAATAGTACAATATCTTGCCTCTTTGTCATGTTTGTGCTGAGCAAATGCCTCTAGATTTGTAAATTTTCTCCCATAATTATCATATTCTGGTATTTTCTTGCAACATTTCTAAATACAAAAAAGAAGAAAATATATCACTCATTTGTCTCAAAATATTTATGGAACACCTGAAGTATTTAGAAATATTTTCATAAGTAAAAATATTTTTGTAATAATATATAAATAAAATTACATGTAATAAGTAAAAATGTAATTAAACATGATGAGTTAAAAAAAAAAAAACCCAAAAAATTGTAATTTCCGATTAAGAAAAATTACATTCAGGCATTTGAGATATTGAGTTTCAAATAACTAGTCATAAAAGAACAAGAGGCCCATGGCCACATTGCTCACAGGAGTTTCTAAAGCCCTGGTCTTCTCCATAATTAGATTTTTTTCTACATAATTATATATATCAATGTAAAACTCTGATCACATATCGTGGGCCCACCCTACCCTTAAATCTACATTATTTGAAGATGCTTCCATATAAATATGACTTTTTATTGCTAAAGCTTTGCAGTTCCTGAGAAATAAAAAAAAAAAATCATATATCCTATATGTAAATTTTTAATTGCCCACTGTGGTCCCACCCTACTCTGGGGGTTATGATTTGAACAAATTTAAATCTGAACTACCTAAGGTCATGCTTTCATATAAAATGATTTATCATGGCCTTGTTTTTCTTGAGAAGATAGTTTTTAAAAGTTTTTTCCTATACAAAGTATATCCCTATATAAAACTCTGATCAACCATTG